GTTACAATTGCTAAACTCAACCATTTAGACTTCATGGCGCTACATTTCGCAAATTAAACGTGTAAAATATAAAATGGGTCAATTTAATACATGAAGATTGTGTCCACCTTTATGGTCCTTTACCTAATAGGAATGGGAAAAAAGTGTCTTGCCTAAAATGCATGCTGATTTAGTATCCTTATTTTGGCCTGTTCGGAGAATTGAACTCAATACTTCTGTATAGCAGTCTGACATTAAACTACCGAGCTACTTCACCTAATAGGACCTGGATAAAAGTTACAAAGGAAATAAAGGTATTGTTTGGTTTTTCTAACTACCTTTAATTCTCTATTTTAAGGTATCTTATTCAAACATGTAATGTTAGATACATTTGATTGTCAAATATTTCAGCCAATTAACCTTATGTGTGGCATACATACAAGTAATATGCATTTCGTCATTTAATTTGTACTGAGACATACAATGTATTGAGTAATTTTATTTCACTTCAATTTACTACTTACAGATTGAATCGTGTGTGAAAAATGCGAAATAAATTATTATGCACTTTTGAAACGAAACTTTTTTTTATCATAGGTTTCTCATTGTCAATTGTATGAATATTCTTTTCTGGAGGTAAGCTTTATTGCCGGTATACCGGTTTACTGAGTGTTCTCCTCTAGTGGTACGTATCTCGGTAGAGATATATTTTGTACCACGGTATTTCTGATCTTACCGTCATAAGTAATAGTGTATATCGAACGTTTATTAATTACCCACAGCGAATATTCTGTGGCCGGAGCCTATCACTTTGTTTTAAATTTCTGTCCGAAAGCTGTAAAAATATATAGCTCTGACTTACTGTTAAAAAAACACTCAATTATACCTATTGTACCTTTTTGTAAACATAATTATCTTGCTATGAAAGAAAAACAACAGTTCCATAAAAAATCGCAGTCCCCTAAAAAACTAAACGATCAATACTTTATGTATAACTTAATTGTTGTATAAATTGTACAAAAATGCCTGCTTTTGTAAAAATCTTAAGATGATTCACAGTCTTGCAAAGAAAATATATGTACATAATACACACATATATGATAGTAAATATATACAAAGCTAATTGTTTAATACCAAATTTATCTGAAAGTTAAATTTCGCACCCAAATCTTTTGCTTGGCCTCAACTTGGGCATGTATGACATGTGCCGAAAATGTGATTAAAGTATCATTGATATAATTATATTTCTAGTATTCAAAATTAATTTGCAACAAATGCAACTGTTCTGTAAAGACAATTAGATTATTTTGTCACGAAAAATGAAACATGCTATTAATATCATTTTATTTGTACCAGGATTGCTCAGGAATTTCACTTCATTTCTATCGGAAACTGCCACGATGTACCGGTTCAATGAAAAAACAAATCCTGCAGTACACAACGTACTTCTATACTTTTTCACTCTACCGGTTCATCGGTAGTTTCCGTAAATAAAGCATGTACGGACATTCACGTAAAGTCTTGTTGCGACTTTAATGATATTTAAAGCGTTTTTTTTATTATTCATGACAAAATAATTAAAGAAATTATCTTTTCTTTACAAAATGGTTGTATCTGTCACAAAAAGAATTATATTTGTAATTCTGTTATCACATGACTCGTGCGTATCACATACGCCAATGCAGTGGCCAATGGAATGCTTTGAAAAATATTCCGGTCAAATCCAGTTGTTTAAATATTTCGAAGTAAAGAACCATAACAAAACCTACGTCATATTTGAGTTATCTACGAATGTATGTCAATGTGTCAAGTATACGTATTCCTTTTGTAAGACTGATAATCATCTACAATTTTCAGCAGCGCACGCCGTTTCTTCTAAACTCTAGGCATTTTCTCAAGTCCATTAAGTTATATATCGTTTGCCGTGTAAATTTGTTACATGTTTACTGGCCCTCTTTGATACAAATCTTGCCCTAGTTTTGGCATTTCAATCAAACTTTCCATGCTATTATATCAACGGTCTAGCTAGAAAATTGGAAATGTCAGTATCCACGCTTCCTATTTTTATCAACAGGCTCTTAAATGTCAGCACAATGTATTTCAGAGATTCGCCTATGTATCTATGGGTAAGCTTAATCATACCACTTTAATTACAACTTTAAGGCTGTAACTTATAGACATAATTAGCATGGAAACATACAATTCATTTACTATGAGTTACTGGATATTTAATTTTTTTGTTGAAGGAACTGTAATTTTCTTTTTATCTTAAATATAGTCTTTTCATATATATGAAGGTAATTGATAGTGTTTCTAATTTACAAAATAATATCACTGACCAGAATATTATTCCAGCTACTAACTGACGTAAATTAAACAAACAAGGCATCAGGCCCTTAATATAATTTCTGTATAATGTGGTCTGTATCGTGTTATGTTAAGAAATAATGTGATATATCGCGATACAAACTTTTTCTTGGTATCCAGCTTTTTTATTTTTTTTATTGTAAATTCAAATTTGGGCATTACTTTGAAACTATGATTATGTCTCTCCTAACTAATTAAAGTATCATAAACAATACTTTTGTAGTGTTTGCCTGTCGTAGGGGTGTCTAGGTCTTACACCAATTAATGCGGGGTCGTTTTGTCAATGTTTTGTTTTGTTAAATAAATGGAAATTTAAGGAATTATTTTTTCTGGAAAAGTGTAATTAGTTCTGTAGAATTTAATTGGAAGGAGATCGGAAAGAGATTGTTACAAATTTTATCAGTTTTGTTTACGATAATCCAGGTGATGACGTTTGCTATCAAATCTCATTCAGATCATTTTCAAAGTCTTTCTGTCATACATTTCGCCAAAGTTTATTTCTTTCTTGAGTTATAGTTTTAAAAATAACAACATTTTCTTAGTGCAATTACTTCCATTTGCTATGAAACCGTAGACCACTTTAGATACTATTCTTTTAAAACTATAAGTGGGATAAACTTTTTCACAGTATACTACGTCAACAGAAAATATATAAAAATTGGTCTAGACGGATTTTGATGGTGAAGTAATTGCATTATTGTAAAAACCGGGTATGCTGTGCTAAGCAACACCGAGGAACAAATTTATGAAACGACTAAAGATGTTTATTTTAATACTTTTTGACCTATAATTTCCAGAAGATTATTTCCAAAGGTCCAATATAGTGTATTTATTTACTTAGTGTAAGCACTCCCCGTTTGACCAATATTATTTTTTTTTCAAGAATCCTTCAGTTCGACCAATGTACCCGACTAAGCAACACAATACCAAAATATAAGCTTCGATACAGGCTTTGCAGCATATTATTTCAGCTCCGCCTCAAATAGTTGTATTCAGTGATCACAAATCACGTGCTTTCATTAACAAAATGAAGTACGAACTCGTGTTTTACATTCGGATAAAACTTCTTTCATCCATTTTATGTGCAGGCATGACAAGCCATCAAATGGCTATGGTAATACGTCTGAATTTATGCGGTCCCTAATGAGACAAGGAAAGATAAAATTACGTTTGCTTCTTTTTGCCAGACATATCGGTATATTTAGCATTTCAAGTGGGAGCAATATCAGCTAAGATTGAATATATTTTATGATAGACAATATTAATTTGATGAGATGCGACTCGTTTGGGGAGGGGGTCACGAACAACGATCGTCTGCAGGCAGTTATTAAGTTCAAAAGAGCCATTTAAAGCGGTTTCGATCCTTTCTCTGTATAAATGTACATGCGACAAAAAGTGCACCATCCAAGAAATCAGAGGGCTAAATTGTTAAAGGATGGTATTACTTCGAAATATCGTCAACAATTCAAATAAGAGGAAAATGAAAAAAAATATACATATTAAATGCATGGGCCAAAAAAGAAAAAAAAATGTTTATGTGATTGAGAAACTGATATCGATTTAGCAAATCTAGTCCAGTGATTTCAGTTCCCTGCCGAAATAAGTTATGATGTTGCTGGAACGATAGTCATCAATGTGATATCTCTAAATATATCACTAAACTAAAAAGAATATTTTATATATTTATAAATTAGCAGATGGTTAGTTTGCATTTTCTGGTAATTGTTGCATTTTAATGAATTAACTCAAACAGGCCAAATCTTGCCTGCTGTTTTTTTTTTAAATTTTGCAATCGCCAGAATACTGAATTCAGTATAAATTTTGTTTTCTGTTTAATGCTGCTTTTTTAAATGAAAATAATTTTCTTCAGTGCTTTGCAAATTTCGAAGAAAGGTCATATCAAAATATATTTCTTAAAGACTATAATGGGTACAATGACAGCTGATATATTTAAAGTAATGCATAAATTGCATAGTTTTGCTGTTTGAAGTGGAATTCACAGCTTTTTAGTTGTCGTGGATATCGAGGATCCATAAATGAATATTGGTGCAAACGATATTAGCCTGCCTTGTCTCACGAAAACGTCTTTCCAATCTAACAAGACCATCGAATAATCTGTTGCAAGGAATCCCGTTGAGCTAGGTTTATTAACCATGTACAGGTGACCTCAGCATCCATAAATATTGTTTGTGGTGAGAGTAGTAATCGCGTAAGCAAAGAATCTATGCGATATAATCCCGGAAGCTTCTGCATTTTTAACGCTTCCCTGAGTTATGTATATCTATATTTTGTGTTTAGATTGGTCAGTACTACTGACTACTCATATATTTTCTGTCTTGCTTGTAAGATATCAATAGGGTGTTTTTTGTTTTACAGATGTTGAGTTCAAGGTCTAGTTTTTTAAGTGAAGTGATGTGATTTGATTATTATTTTTAACGTAGCTTTAACAATTTTTCAGTCATATCGCTACGATGTATGCAGTTTGGCAATCTATAGGAAAGTCAAGCACTGGGACATCATGCCGCAGACATGTAGCATGATGTCCCACCCAGTCACCTTATCCTGACACCAGACCGACCAGTCCTAACACTGACCTCTTAATGTTGAGCGCCAAGCGAAGAAGCTGTTAGTACCATTTTTGTAAGTCTTTGGTATGACTCGACCGGGTATAGAACCCACGACCTCCCGCATCCGAGGCAGACGCTCTAACCACTAGACCATCGGAGCGGTACTGTTTAGAATTAAGATTATACTAGATGTAATATTGTTAATGAATTTGATTCGAAAATGACCCTAATCCTGGTTATGATTTTGCCTCTTCCTTTATTAAAAAAATATAGTGATAAAGAGAATGACTCATTCCTAATCTTAATATCTTTCTAGACCAATCAGTCTTTTATTTATGATCAGTAGAGAGGATTGAATTTATTTAATCAAATTAATTGGAATAACAAAGTGATCATAGAGTTAGGATAAACTCACGATTTGGAAATTACTATGCATTCATTCAAGGACATTTTGGATTGTATCATTAGAACACATGAAGACTCTTGGCACATTAATACATTCGAGGCTACGTACCAATCGGCATATTTATATTTGGAATTCATTTGGAACACAACTGAAATTCATTAGGAATATTCTATACTTTGATTTGTGATATAAAGTTTAGGAGTAGTTTGGGTTTAATTCGCATTACTGAATGTCCATTTTATATTTTTTCCTTTGTATTCTAGGGAAAAAAAGTTATTTCTTAACGTTTTGCATTAATCGAGCAAATAGCATACTGAATGTGTCGAAACTTTTCTTTCTCTTACAATTTTGGTCCTAAGATTCCCGCCAAATTACGAGTTTCTTCTCTCAGAGTATACTTATTCTTATTAAGGCAAGATGTACTTCTCCTAATCCGTTCCGGTATAATGATAAATTGCTGAAAGTTGTCAGCAATAATTCAGATCTAAGATCTAATCTCACGATCTGTCTTAGTTCCGACTGGATATTGTTGTGGAATTTCCTAATCAAACTTAGTTTGGCAATGACTTGTCGTCTACATGGTGGGCGAGAACAGGTCCCGTTCACACTTTTGGCTTCCTTTTGATTCCTGGACCAATGTTTTAACGCCTAGGTGCGAGGACTACAAGCCCTTTGACTGGTGGTTTTTCTATAATCTGGGTGGCTGGCGACTAGCCTAATAGATTAACACTTCTTGCGGCGATGTTTACACATCAAACACAGTATAATGGAAGTATTTACATTTCCTGATACCTGGACTGAGAAACGTGCCACCTGGGGATAAAGTTAAGCATATTACTGTGGAGAAATTTACTCAAAGTAACGTTCCAATCGTTTTACTCACACTGGGATGAGGCTGAAGTCCACATTCTCTGCCCTAATCTCCCGCTCTGCCAATGCTGGACATTAACACAGGATACCTTTTAGGTCAACCTACAAGAACTTCAAGAACTTTTTGTTATCTTATAATCGTAAATGTAATCAAAAACATCCATTTCTTCGGAAGTAATATCTAGGCGGAAACTCTACAAAATATCCGAAACACTGCTTCTACTTTAACAGTGAGAAGAGCCAACAAGTATGATGGAACGGGCAACATAAGAGAAGAAGGTGGCTCAAAATGACGGAAATGTCAATCTAGACGAAAGCGATTGCAATGAAGGTCAAGAAACATTTACTCAAGTATTATAACAAGAGGCAAACACACAAATAAATTCGGATACAGATAGAGGACTCGGATTCAGCCCCAAATAATGTTTTAGACCAAATACGTAGCGGACAAGTGTGGGAGAAATTCCTAAGCCCGATAAAAACCATCACACCGGATCAGACTAAAAATAAAGATTTAGAAGATAGACTTCTTGTAAGCAATTGCTTCCCTCCCCCTCCTGATAGAGGAAGGGGAAGAGGGTGAGGAAGAAGAATTACTCAGTAGTAAGTCAAGTCCAAAGGGATGAGAGGAGAGTGGGTTGATATACTTTATCGGTATTAGGCCTCCCACCTCAACCCCCAAAGACAATTGCATGGCAAATCCAAAGGAGCTTGAGAGGAGTGGAACGATAGACCCTACTGGATTTCAGTCCCCAACTTCAACTCATACTACATCCAATTGGAAAAAGAACCAAAAGAGGAAACTGCGGCCTTCTCCGCTATGCTCTTCAAATAAAAAGATCATAAAAAGTAGCATGTCTATCCTCAAGGAAAAAAGAAAAAGGGGAGGTGACAGAAAATGAAGCCAAAGACTTAGATACAAATCATGAAAACGGGCTCGGGGAGAAACAATAGAAATTAAACGGACTAGGATATGGACATGGAAACAGAGACATAAATTGAATCTAAATATTTAGAAAGACAAGATACTTAAACATGCGAAACGATCGACGGTGAAACAGATACTGAAACATGTAAAAACGATTGACGATGAAATAAGAAGAATCCCTTTTCCCTCAACAAAATTATTAATAGACATTAGATATTAGTTATTTTTTTATAATTACTAACTAAAATAAAATAATATGTTTTTAAGACCTAAGAATCTGGCTGCCTGGTTTCAATAAAAAAAAATGGAAGGAACAAACTTCCGTATAGCTTCAGTAAATACTAATGGAATAGATAAGCAAAAGAAAAAAAATTAGATAAACTGCATGATCTTAATAACTATAATGTTATTTTAAATCAAGAAAATCACAATGGATTTGAAAAGGCATTGACATCTTATGCGGAAGAAAAACTTAGTGCAATTATTCTAAAAAGCAATTATACTAGTGAAGATTTAAAAAGAGGAGTTGCTATTATTATAAAGGTTAATAACAGGGTAGACAGAAAATAGAAGGTAGACAAATTTTTCAGGGGAGACTATTTCACATAAAAATAAATAAAATAAATATAATAAATGTGTATTTTTTTAAGAAAACAAATATAAAAAATCAGAGTTTATTGAGGATCTCGATAAATATTTAAGCAATTACTCAATGGAAGAAGTATTTTTAGGCGGTGATTTTAATTGGGTTGGGGAAAGCGTGGATAGAATACGAGAATTGAATCTAAAAATAAACCTGCAAGTAGATTGGATAGATTTTACGTTACAAATTTAATGAAAAGGGCTTATATATAAATTCACTATTAATAAATAAAAGATTTCAGATCATAAAATAATAGAAATTGAAATAAAATCGCAAAATAAAGAAAGGTGGGGTAAAGGAACATGGAAATAAAATAACACATTACTGGAAGATAATGATTTTAATGCTGAAATCAAAGCCTTATTAAATACATTTGTAGAAAAAGGATAATTGTATCAAATCTCCTGTACTCGTGCAGTTATATCTTTGTACAGGATTTGAGTCCATCTCTGAAAATTATTCCCAAACCCAATTTTAGCCAGTACTTTTTGTATATAGTTATATTCAATTATATCAAAGCTTTTACCTAATCTAGAAGCACCATAGCGCCTCGTTGTCCCGTTTTCTTTTAATGAATTCGATTATCGATTTTACAATTAATATGTTATTATGTATGTCATTTCCTTGTGTATCTTATGTTTGATTTTTGTTTATTATTGTATTTATACCTATTTTTATTCTGTTTGCTAATATCTTACTTAGAATTTTGTAATCGCTTTTCAGGAGGGAAATGAGCCTCCTGTTCTCTAGGTCTTCTTATATCCCCTTTCCATTCATACATAAGTGATATTATTCCTTCTCTCACGGAAGGTGTTATGTAAAGATTCTAAGATCGGCACTAACTCACGTTGGAATTTCTTATACAATTCCCACGTGAGTCCATCTCTTCCTGGTGTCTTCTCTTTGGATAGGGAGTTAATAGTTTTTAGTTATTTCTTCCCCGAAAGAACAGTCATCACATATGTCGATATGTTCCGATGTTTTCTCGCATTTTTCTTCTTTTAAATATTCTTCTATTTCCTCATTATTTAGTTCTCGGGATTTATACAATTTACTGTAATACTTTTTTATTCTCTCCATTATTCTATCTTTGTCAGTTATTCGTTATTTTCATTTTTGAAGCATTTATTTCCTTATTTTCTCCTTTCCTATACTCCTCTCTCTTCGCTAATCCTCTAGCTGTATTATAGAGATTCGCTAGCTGTATTATAGAGATTCGAGAATTTACCTGCCCTTATTACTGTACCTTTTTTCTTTTACCCTTATTTCTTCAAATCTATTTTAATAATAATTCAATCCGTACTTAACTATTTTGTTTCAGATAACTTATTATTTGTTGTTTTTTCTTTATTTCTTAGTTCGTTAATCCTTTTAGAAAATCTTATTGCTAATTTCTTTTTTATGTTTAAAAAATATCACATTCTATTAAAATATCTTGATAATCCAAAATTTCTCTATCTGGTTTTTGCTGTTGTTGCTGCTGCTGCTGTCGTTCTAATCCCTACTTTTTCTGAAGTCTCTATTTCTCAGTCCATTCTTCTTGTCCTTTCATAATTTATTCTCTAAAGATCTCTTCTATGAGGTCTTGGGCTGTATAGAGCTTCCTGACATATTATATTTCGTTAAGCTTAGGCATCAGGTTTAGACTGACACGATGTAATTGAACGTAAACTTAGTTAAGTTAGCTAGTCTGGAAGGCAACTTCACAGGTTGACGAGTCAACAGTGGAAGGTCAGACTGGAGACTCACCCGCTTTATATGGTACAAAAGGTGACATGATAGAAACATATCTATTGGATTTTAGTGTCGAAACGTGATAATAGCTCATGTCATCGTGAGGGTTAGAAAGTCAAGAAGAGATATTTGCAATGTGTCTTTCGCAACAAAACAAACGACATACACGTTTTGTTTTCAAAAAAGCAGTATTTTGTATTCAACCAACGATGAAAACTAAAAAAACAACAATAGTATCCAACATACAAATTAATTTTGATAAGGTTGATAATATTCTGAAATCATGTGAGATTTCCATTGATGAATGTCATGAGGCCATTGATGTTTTCTAACTAAAGACAAAATATAACCATAACGGTCACAAAACCATTGATCTACTTATTCAGTCTCTTGAAGAGTTACTAATAAGTTACTAAATGTTCTGAGGAATATCCCAGACTGCGTTGATAAAGAAAATACACACAATATTGTCTACACACCATGGAATCGTTGCCTTGTAATTTCACATTATTGCATCGTGTTGTCTAGGCATTTCTTCTCATAAAGTCATTAATATCGTCTTCCAAAGAGGTTAATTCA